TATATATAGTTTTGTTTTTCTGCGGAGCCAGGGATTGAACTTAGGCCCTTGCGCTTGCCAGGCAAGCACTTATTCTACTGAGCTAACTCCCCGGCTCCCCCCAAAATATTTTGTAAACCTAACTTTTTATGGCATTTCACTGGGCAACTATAGTTGAAATTTTTATCAATTTGATAAAAACATCAAAGAAGATATACAATACTGTTTTAGAAATATGAAAAGCACATGAGGAAAGTGCATTAGAAGTCAAGGGGAAATTTTTCAGGGAGATGAATGACAACATCTTTCTTATTATTATAAATTATATAAAAAATTTACACATTGCCTGAAATTGTGAATCACTTACTATTCATACTGTTAAGAGAAAGTTTATAAAAATGTTAAAATGCATAGGAACCTTTTCTCTTTTAAATATCGACCTTATCTCTTATTGTGTTTCATAGATCTCTGAATGTACTGACTACAAGTGATTCCAGGTTCTCATGGAGGTCAGAACTTGTCATGAAAGGGTGAAAAATCAACAGGCAAGAGAAATCTATTCATAGGTAGGATTTATGGATACTGAACACAGTGCTCCCTGATCTTTTCCCTGCAGATAAAACTGAACCTTTGTTCACAGTGATGTCTGTTTACTAACTTTGATTTCTGAGCAGCCCCCTCCTGCTAGGTCTGTTTTTCTTTTTGCAGTCTACACACAATGTTCATTTCACTCACAGTGTAGGATCAGAAACGACAAGTCTCCTGAAGTTTCACTGTCTTACGTTGACCAAGGAATCTCTGGTTTCTAGTGGATTTAGAGATTGTGAAACCTGACACTGAGAAAGCTTTTTCAAAAGAGAGGTTCCCATATGTTCCTTCCTTTTCCATGGTTAATTCACTGATCCTTGTGCTCAACTCTCTTATTTATGGTATCTTGTAAAGTGTGATAATTAATCTGGACCTTCAAATTGAGTCAATTAAGAGTGAACCCTAGAGCTGACTGGTTCATAAGGGTTAAAACCTCTCCAATTGGCCAATGCATTTATCAATCCATAGCTGAGTCAGCCATTAAGAGTTGAGCCCCAGTTGGAGGAAAGAGTCCACTGGGAAACATACCTATCCATGATCACTTGTCCTTTCCTCTTTGACTTTCTCACCCTCTCTGTTTTGTGACTGCCACAAGGTAAACAGAAGTCCTCCATGAGAATTCATTTGATACATTTCTGCCATACATTTCTGCTATGATATTTATGCCTTGGAGTCAGCTGACCTTCTTTAGCTATCATGAGCCAAACTAAATGGTTCTTTCTTGAAGAATTTTCTGTCAGTATTTTATTCCTGCAATAGAAATGAAGACATAAGGTCATGCATTTTTTGTGACATGAGTGGATAGATTTGCCCACAGGGAGCATATGTATAGATTTGATTCATCTCGCAGAAGTTTTTATATGCAAAGATGGGTTTCTCCCTAGTATTGTGATGGTAGGAGGGTACTATAAGTTTATGAAGAGAAGCTGGTGATAGGTTACAGGTCATTGGAGTGTTCTACCCTGAAGATGGATCGTGGTAGTCTTATGGGGCCAAGGTGAGTTCTCCTGAGGCATTTGTAGAATGAGAACAACAGCAGACCACTCCTGCTCTACGATCTTCTCCATCAGCTGTGTTCTCTTCCTTTTGCCCTTGTATCTTCCTCGTTGTGAAGCACAGTTGACCTGCAAGTAAACTGTGTGATATGTGCGGTACATCTCTTAGTCTCCCCACTATGATATGAGTTAAAGCATGTTCTCTTTAGCACGCGAAACCTAAGAGGCATTGTCATCAAAATTGTAAGCAGGAAAACACACTGAAGTTTTTTTTTTAAAAAACTATTTCTTAGAACATTAGGACACAAAATTCATGGTGTAGGGGCATATGTCATTCACAGCGGCCTGTACAAGGTCCATATCCATACATAACTTTTCAAGGATTTCTCCTTCACTCTCATCATTTCCTTGGATGCATCTCATGAGTGTGGAGAATTGTCAAGTGGTCTGAGAAAGCAGAATATTAGTGCACCAGATACATGCAGAGCAGGAAACTTCGTGTATGTGCCTGCTTTTCCTTTCTATAATGAAAGCTTCAGAGAACCAATGTGTTCTTCAGGAACTTCAAAATTCTTTTCCCTTTTAATATCTTTATTCTATGAATGGAGTCTTATTTCCAAATAAACATGAAGAGTCCTTTTTGTCTAAAGACTGACAGTATGTCTAGCACCTAAGATTATTTACCAGTCAAACTATTGTGAAAACAAAGCAATTGGCACAATCAGAGCATATAACAAGCCTATGGACAAGGGAAACCCAGAGATATGTACAGAAAAGTGTCCTTCTACTCAATTCTATATTGCTTTTACTTCTCCCAAATGGTTCCATAAGGAAAGAAATTAATCCACAAAATGGAGTAGCCCATTTATTTAGCCCAAGAAACACTTCATTGAGATGGATATGAATGGAGGAGGATGTACCACAAGGGGCTCAACCAGCTTTACTACCATCTATGATTCCTGTGGAGTTCCTGCCTTCAGTGAGCTAAAAATATCATTGCTGATCTAGATGAGATATAGGGCCTCTCCTCATTAGCTCATAAAAAGTAGAGAAAAAAAATCAACATACAATTTTCATAGTTACGTAAAGATTAGAGTGGTTATGTGTTTTTTTCTGCAAGAAAAGCAGTGCATTAATATAGATGAATGTTGGGATAAGATCAAAAAGGGACTGGTAGTTGGAAAACACAAAGCAACTACTTCATCAGTACTCTCCAACCATGAACTGAGATCAGAAACTATAATGGCAGAAATTCGAAGGAGTGAAGACAGAGTGTAAAAAGATATGAAGGTGCTCACCAGGAAAAGGATGCTACGTGTGGCTCTGGACTCAGGAGATCTTAAGGACGCATTAGTGACACGAATATGTTGAACCCTTTGCTTGTGTCTGTGTAGGATGAAAATCATAGAGCTGCTGGCCCAGACTATAAGCAGAGAAAAACAAACTTCTGGAAAAACTACTAATGCTATGTAGATTGAGCCCATGAGTGCTCTATAGTCAACAACACAACAGAATCCTATATTGATTTTCTTTGTAATGTTGTCATAACCTTCTGCATTCAAATGCAATGCATACAGAGGAATAATTGAAATGACAACCATAGTTAGGATCCAGCAGAGGAAAGTGCAGAAGCAAATATACTCTTGAGCTTTATCTTTAACATCTTTCCAACAGGGGTTCGTGGGGCTGATGATGATGTTTTGGAAGACACTCAAGAGGCAGATGGTACCAATGGACACACTCCTGCCCACTCTCTCAATATATGACAGATATCTGCACACAGTATCATTGAAGAATTGTTTCAACCCAAATGCTGCTATTGTTCTAGGAATTCCTTTAGAAAGAAGAACTAAGGAGTTGGCTACAAACAGGTGCTTCAGAATCACATCTGTGGGTCTTAATTTCCTTTCATTGTGGAAAGCAAAAATATAACGGTAAAGAAGAAAGAAATTGCCTGTGACACCAATGACAGTTTGTGACAAAAAGATGATTCCTATTACCAAATCTTTGGACGTTATTTTGCCATTTACTATCAAAATGTCATTTAAATTGCTATAACAATTATTTGTCTTAGTGTCATAACTCATTGTAAAGAATAAATAATAAAATAATTTTATATTTGTGTGCTTGTGGGATTGTGAAAATTTTAAAAAGCTAGAAGAGTTGAAGAGGATTTCTATCCTACTGCACAGGAAATCATCAGTAAGTATGAGGTGGTGTTAAACTGTCAAAGGAAGGAAGACAACATATGGAAGGAAAGCAAAATCCAAAATTTTCAGTAAATCCTAAAATTTATCTTAAGTTTCAGCACAAAAAGAAAAAAAATCACGCTGTATACACACTTCATACAATAGATCAATTTTAAATGGATTTCAAATGTTAATGTCTAAGATAGATATCAAACATTTTATGAAAAATTACTCATTGACTCTAAGAAGAACACAGTATCTCCTAGAAAAACATTAACATCATCTGTGAAATTGCACATTTTATTAAAATTTAGAACTGTTTTCATACAAATATGTTTATTTGACCTAAAGTCAGCAGGTGGACAGAGGATGGGAATTATGAAAAAGGAGGTAAAACAGTGAAAAGGTGATATATACAGTTACTGATCTTTAAGGATTTAGTATTTTATACAAGAGAATAAAATATGACAGTAGTTAAGATGAAATTTAAAGAACATGCTATTTATTGCTTAATACACACATGGAGTATGTTCAGTGACATCAACAATCAGGCAAGTAAAATAAAACTACCACCAAGTAGTATAACACAACATCCAGAAAACTTAAATAAATATGGCAAGAAATATCAAGATAAGTGAGAATACAGACAAACAAATAACATGTATATTTATAAGTCTGTTTCAGCATATTCAAGTATTTTAGAAAATTATTGATTAGTATTTCTATAACACATAAGATAAAATTTTATGAATTCATCAAAATAGTCCAATATGGTCCAGTAGTCCATAATAGTAGTGGGTTATCCATAGCACTGGCAATGTCAGAAGTTGTTGACTTGAGCCTTTTACAGCTCAGCATACTCATATGGACTTTACTTTTTGTACTTTGTTTTTATACTTTTCTGCTGGAAGTACAAGAAGGTAAAGCAAGATCAAGATAAAGCAAGACCAAGATAAAGCAAGACCTATATAACGAGAAATGCAACTTTTGTCTGACAAGGTCAGTCAAATTCATGCACTTAAAATTTTTAAATGACATTGTAATATGCATCTGTGACAAAACAAAAGAAGGGGATACCAATGAAAGACCATTTTGTGTCTGTATATTCAAAATAGGATAGATATATATCTATTTTCTCTTAATTCAATGAACAGAAATATTCGTACTGATAGTGTTTGTGGACAGGATATCATGTCTGCATCTTGTGCTATGAATAACCACTATGAAGACAACAATATGCAATGTATTAATTATTGAAACGGTCCTACTAATCGATTTTGAAACTGTCTCATTGCTATTTGTTTCTCAATAAACTTATTTAGAAAAAGATAAAATTTTATGTTTTAATAATTCAATATCTTTAAGATTACCCAATGTAAGTTCAGATATTACTAACCAAAAGATGTGCTGTACTAACTATATAAACTAAAATTATTTATTTCTCACAAGAGCAAAAAATACAAAACCAACTCCATGATCACTAACATTACAAAACTTATTTGTTTGATTATTTGATATTTTAACAAGGGAATCCTATAACCAATGCCAATGAATTCTACCAGTAATATTAAGAAATGAGGGAAAGTGTCTCAATGCAGGCAATTTCTGAATTTGAAAGAGCTCACTAAATTTATTAGTATAAAATGTCAGTTATTAGTAATCTAATAAGTACATTACAATACTGTAACTATAAACGTAGGTCTATGTAGTTGACTTTAACATATATGTCCGACTGAACTATAACCTTATGTTAGTGACCTAGATGACACTGAACGGAGGTTCAACCTAATGACAATATTTTTTTCTTGATCTATCTTTATGTAGACTCTTGTATTCCATTTCTGAAACTCCACTAAGGTCTGCCCATAGAAATTGTTGTTTTGAAATTCTGCATCATTTGATTATTTTTTCTCTCTTCAAAAAATAACGAATGCTTGTATGTAAAAAAATGTTACTTGTGTGAAATAAATGTTATTTAGACATTTTACAAACAGGAAAATAGTTAAAAAGGAGAATATAGTGCAACTATTGACAATATGGATGTAGTTTAACAATATTAGGGTGTGCAAAATCGAGGAAAGATAAGTCATCAATGATTTTAATTTTATATAAAATTTAAAGGACTCTATGACACACATAAAGAGTAAAATGTTGGTGAGGGGGGCTAAATGAGAGGGCATACAGAATTTCTAAATAACAACCACAACATCCCTGGAAAGTAAGAAGAAAAGTTTCTAGAAACCTCTATGACACTGTCCGTATTGCCGGCAATATGTTCTTGTATATGAGAAAAACTTAGCAGAACTAATAAAAATTGTTTTTAAAATGACATCAATGTTTGAAATCTGCTATTCTGAGGTTGAGGGTATACCTCAAGAGGTATATCCCTGTGCTGCATTCCATATCCCTAGTCTTGGTAACCCTCAGTCAAAAACTATGCTAGAATTCAACTTTATGTTTGTGTTGCTAAGAATCAAATCCAAGGCATCACCAATGCTAGGCACATGCTCTGCTACTGAACCACGGCCTCCAATGCAAGCAAATATACAAATAATATTTTTAAACCACACAAGCAATAAAATGCTCATTTCATCCTGATGGATTTTGCATGCAACACACGATAGCACAGTTTTTCTTTTCTGAAATGCAGTTTGTCTGAATTCATGCGAGTTAGCATTCTCTCGCGTAATTATCCAGGAACAGGTGTCTTCGGTAGATGACAATGATGCCTTCTGCTAAGTACAACATATACAACAGAGTTACATTTAAAAATTCACTTTAATTCCAGAAAATATTTCAACCACATGGGTTCAGCAGAGAAGCAGTTAGTACTAAAAATTCTATTTTGCTTTTTATCAAAAGCATGAAGACATTATAAATAGTAACAATCATATTAATTGCCCTTTCATTCATGTATGGCTGTGGCAACAACAGCTACATTGAACTCTTACCATCCTTAACCACAGAAAGGCCCATTTTACTATAATTGTGATTATTCACTGACACTCATTTTCAACAAAGACTTCATTAAATTCCATTAGAAAATGTCAGGACTTGACCTAGATTTGAGTCTTCTATGTGTGTTTAATAGCTCAGCTCCTAGCTGTAGAACATTTATCTTTATTTCCCACATCCTCATAGACATGTTTCTACCTGCGTTTTCCTTTCCAGACCTCATCTCTTTTTCCAAACTTCTGTGTTTACCAACTCTGACTCTTTGACTGAGACAGAAATTACTCACTTGAATTCTTCCCTTTACAGAATAGTAGGCTCAAGGTGCAGGAGATGATACTCAGTATAAGCAGCAAGGGAGGCATGATATAGGAAGCGATGAAGCTGTAACCTCCACCTTCCTCTGAATTACAATTATCATTTTATATGTATTGACAATGACAGTGGAGGCCTGGGGAAATAAGGATGTTTTTGAACAACTTTGTTCCATAGTTTCTAATTACCAAAGGCAATTACAACTCTCTGGAAATTATCTCTAAGGAGACTACTGTGATGTATAGAAGAGATTCTCATGATTTTATAATCTTTGAAATTTGGAAGCAGCAGCAATTATTAAAGGACCATTTTGTTGTAAAAAAAGGAAAGAAAAAATATATGTATACACAAAATAGGGTAGATATACAGCTACTTTCTCTTAGTTCATTGAGAAGAAAAGTTTACACTAATTTTATTTAGACATATCTTGTCTGCATCTTGTCCTCTGAATAACTAGTATGACTACAACAATATGCAATGCGTTAATTATTGTAACTGTGTCATTGCTATTTTATCTATTTTTCTTATTAAAATGAATTAAAAAGATCAGCAACATATTGGCAAAAAGTAGACCTGAAAATTAATGGAACAGATGAGAAGATGTAGACATGACTACAAGCATGCTCAGTGTACTGATCTTTGACAAAGTGGCCAAGCACAATCACTAGAAGAAAGAATAGCCTCTTTAAAAAGCAGTGGTGGAAAGCTGACTTTCTCTATGCTGAAGGCTTAAAATAGACCCATGCCTATCACCATGAAAAAAAAAACTACACTCAAAATGGACCAACGATTTAAATTTTAAAACTGAAATGCTAAATCTTATGGAAGAGAAAGTTGGTAGAAATCTTAAAGTCATAGTGTTAGGTAGAGAGTGCATAAACAAAAATCAAATTGCCCACTGGAAATATTAGAAAAAAATCAACTATTAGTACTACAGCTTTTGAAATGTTTCGGCATCAAGTAATTCATCAATGGTGTTAAATAAAATACTATAGTTTGGGAAAAAATTATAGTGTAATGACCTCTAGATAAAGGATTGTTATCTAGAACACAGAAATAATTAGAAAAATAATCAGGCTAAAATTGGGCATCCAAGGTTAATATTCACTTCACAAATGAAAAGATACAAATGACAAATAAATGTATAAAAAAGTTCAACATTATTGGTCATTCAAATGATGCAAATTACAACAATGCTGAGATACCATTTTACCCCAGAAAGAATAACTACCTCAAAAAGTCAACCAATAAGAAATGCTGATGATTTAATCAAGAGTCAGACATTGGGGCACATGCCTGCAATTCCAGAACTTGGGAGGCAGATGCGGAAGAGTCGCTATAAATTCAAGGCCAGCCTGAGCCAAATAGTGAGTTCAAGGCAGTCTAAATTTCATAACATTTTACCACCAAAAAAAAGGGGGGGGGTTGGAGAATGAGGAGAGTGCCTGGGAAATAAAAATAGTAAAATCACTTACAGGGATGGGATGGTGCTGTGCTCCAGGACACACATGGTGGGGCAATCCAAGGTCATAGGGACAGTACAGTACACACCTGTTTATTTTCAAATAGGTAACAAGCAAAACAGACCAGGGCAGTTCCTTGATTGGATTGCTCACACTACAAGCCCAGCT